GGCAGGGCCAGCAAAGACATGGCAATGGTCGTGTGTCCTAATGGCCATGTTTGAGGTTGAGGTTGATTCAGTTTAGAGTGGAGAAGTTGCTGAAATGGTTTGGGTTTGTGTGTCCAACTGCCAGTTGTGGGCCATAAACAAGTTAAAACTTCGCATTTATTGATAGATTTTATTGTTATAGATTCGAATTGCGGCATTAACTTATTTATGGCGTGGAATTTACTTCCTTCTGGTTATTCGCCAGCTAAAGTTTTAGTTTCTAGTTTTAGTTGCTGTGCGCTTCATGTGAGTTTATGTTTGCATTTTGTTTATGTTTTAATGGCTAAAGTTGGGACAAAGTTATTAAAATAATGAAATGAACATGAATACTCAAAGAGCCTTGAAAAACAGCTGAGGCAACAATTATTAGATGACTATTAATTCTACTAGACCTTTGATATACAACCAATCAGGGATGGAAATACTTTCAAAGAGTTTTAATAATAATCATAATAAAATGTAATATTTTTTGAGCATAAAGAAAGAACCTTTCGATCTCAATAAGTGTGCGATGGTTTAACCATTTCCATAATAACAAAAAGTTTGAAGATCTGGCTGAAATCTCTCCCCAAGACATGCCACTCTCCTCACAAATGGTTTTGTTCAACCTCAAATTGACTTCGCTATAAGTTCTCAACAAAAACATGTACTAGACTTCTCCCTAGCATTTACCCCTCTAACGCACTCACTTGCCAAGATTTAGGAGACGATTTCCTCTTATCCGAGCTCTGTCATCTGTCAGAGGTCCAGTGCCTGGGCCAGCAATTAAGCAAACATTAAACATGTAAACAGCTCGCAACGCCCCAGAGATGGGTCCACACCACAGAGGATAGCAAAGCGCAGAGGTTGAGCCGAAGGATGGAGTTCCTCTGTGCGTTTTCCAATTCGCTGACTTGTCGCACCCAGTCAGAGAGTGCTCGACGATAAACGGCACTGATAGCGAGGCAGCATTTAACAGGAGGGGAAGGAGCAACCAAGAGATACCCAGAGGAACAAGCTTGAGCTCAATTGAGTTTCAAATTGATGTCACCATTATCGGGAGCTGTCATCTCGGCAGCCGTGATGGGGTGACGCCACAATGAGGGATGGGCTGTGGGACGGCACGGAATGACACGGAATGGAGTGCCCAAGAGAAAAATGTTTCCCAGTATTTATGTTCATATAATTTTTAGTCATCATTTATCAGCGGGAAACATTTTCACATGCCCGCAATTGCATATTTATGTAGATGCAATGTGCAATTTTAGTTTGCGCTTCGATTTAAGTGCTCATAAATAAAATCCACCCCTTAATGGAATCGCCCAAGAGGGACGCGAACTCTGGGTTGTCTGAGGGTGCCACGACCACCCCAGAAACTGTCAAAAAGGCAACGGGCAAAGTTTGTAAACAAAACTAATGCCGACATGGGTGTTGATAAAGTTCTCCAAGTTCTCCCTCCCCCCCCCTATCAATACCAATACCATTCCCATTCCCATTCCCATCCATTCTCCTCTCCTTATTGAATTGCCCTACACGCTTGATTGCCCGCTAAACGGATGTATAGCGGGGGGAAGTGGATGGGGGGTATATGTCCATTCGATTCGTGTATGACATGTGGATTCGTCATACCAAAAAGCGCAAAATATTATCCCAGACTCGACGTTTGTTCTGGTTTCTCGCCAAAAACATCATCCACAAAGGGGTGCACCATTTGGATGCAGGATGCACAGCAACTTCGACCTCATGGTTCAATGGAATTGTGACTTGTGTCTAATGGACTATCCATTGTCATCCTCTGGCCCGCGATCCTCCTAATGGCAGCGCAGAAACTAAAGCAGTTGCACAAACACAAATATTCGAAGCCGAATCCTTTGTTCCCACATTGCCACTGTGAACTGGGGATAGAGAGACTTTCCTATGGAAATTATACTGGAATCTATTCGGCAGCTGTAATGATTTTGGGTTGCCTTTCTTTACGCTAAAAGGGTGGGGTTACATTCGGGAATCTACTTTTAATTATGTCTTTGAGGCAGTAATCTCTTTTGTTAGTGGAAGGCAAAACCAGAGGCAGGCAAAGACTCCTTGATGATATTAATTTGTAGGAATAGATTTTATATACTTTGTTATCTATTCGGTCAAGAATCTAAGAAACAATTCTTACCAATCCTGGAGGTTAGTACACTAAAATTGTACCTAAACAGATCAGAATATCATTGAAAAATGCATGAAACTCACAGAGAATACACGTGAAAGTCACTCAGCCAATAGATCTCGGGGATCAGAAGAGTGAAACGCGGGTAATCAAGATTGGTATTGATCGGAGCAGCATTGACTTTGCTACTTACATCTCTTTAGCACAAAAAGCCAACTTAATTTGAATGAAATTAAGATCAAAAACAACTGCCCAATCTTTGCTGTTTATGAAACTTCATCCCTAAGTAACTCCACTGTGTAAGCTCTGTGCAGATCATTGGCAAATTACGAGTCAAAAATTCAATTTAGGGATTTGCAAGAAAATTTCTGTCGTTTTGTCGCTATAAGCTGAGTAATCCTGTGATGGCTAATTTGTTTCACTATTGAGGAGCAGAGTTGCAGAAATACAGAAGAAATCTGGGCAGATCGGATGACAGTTATGGAAATTTATGATTCATTGTCTGGCGACGGATGGGATGGGGAATGGGATGCGGATTGCCCATTGCCCATTGCCCATTGCCCTGCCCAATGTAATCCATTTGTTTGCGCAACATTTGTCACGCTGCCAGTAGTGTGCTCCGCTCCGCTCCGCCTCCTCCTGCTCTCTCGAAGGGGAATGTGGCAGGAGATGGGCGAGGGATATGTCAACACAGCTACAGATACGCGTACGATCCACAGCCACCCCCCGTTTCATCGTAACCACTTTGACTTTGATTTCCATTCCCCTTCCCCTTTCTTTTTTTTGGCAAATGTTTGCCAAATGTTGCAAACTGTCGTCGGTTTTGTTGGTTTATGGATTCGCGGGAAGGAGAGCAGAGCGGATTCCGGTAGCGATTTATGAATTTCATTTACTAATGGATTGAATTGGATTGGATTGTGGCAAACTCTGAAACTCCACAGATGTGTGAATATGCAATATGGATTATTTTTAAAAATATTTTACATCTCTTTCGGGGTGGGCGAACACACCCGATATTGATCTGGATCTTAAATGGATTGGAAATGAATTTATAAATGTATCCACAAATGCAATTCATATTTCTGGAGATACTTGACAATCGTAAATATAAAATCTAAAACGTTTCGAGGGCAAACTATGGAGCCTATCGGAAGCCAAAGCATGCAAAAAGTTTAAGAAAATTAATTATAAATGGTATGGGATTATAGATGGATTCAACTAAAAACGTTGAATCTACTCAAATCAGTAGGAAACACTTAATAGATAACTCTCAGAATGAGTAGTTTGCCATACTCTAGGTATTCTATTACCATTTATTACATTTAAAGATAAGCTGATTTCTAGTAATAAATAGAAACCTGCAAAAGTAGATCGAACATCAACTTCTTGAGACAGATTTAAGTATATTCAAATCTTAAATGGCAATTCCTACTCATAAAGAGATAAACAACTTTGAAATCCTTTAACTTAGTTTGCTTAGGGAATATTTACATATGCTTAAGAGATTATCTTATCCCTTAAAGTATAAATATAGATTAAGTTGTTTAGCTCTTTAGTACTATAAAGATTAGATGAATCTTTTTGTATTTGTTGGGCTTTTTTTACAAGCATAAGAATTTACTTTAAATTATTAACTTTGCAAATATGTCGAAGAAATCACTTCTTAACAGACTTTAGTGCTATCTTTTTAGATCAGAGCTGGCTCCTACAATACTGCTCTTATCTATCTATCCAGCACACATCAGTATCTGTAAGGAGTAGTTTTCCTTCAGTGTATGCCTAGCCACACTGAAGCCATTTTCTATCCCTGTGAACCGCACTGCGATTGGCTGTTACGAAACATTAAAAGCCATTCCATTTCCCACTCGGAAATACCAGCCATGTGCGACGTGTGGACTGGTACTGGTGCTGATACTGCTCCTGCGCACTCGAAACACACTGGCGAGTACATAAGCGTCCTTTGGTTTATATAAACGGATGGGGCATGTGCCTGTGGCCAGCTTCTAGCCATCCAACCACACTCTCAACCCAGTCTTTCAAACCCCCAATCCAGAACTGAATTTATAGCTTGGACCATGACTGCCGTTGGCTTCTGTCCATTTATCTTTGGCTGTATATTCCTGACTGGGTTTTTTTGTTGTTTAACCAGAAGAGGAGGGCACCCAAACCACATGGGATTGTGCCCACAATGCCACCAATGGCAGTTACATTTTATGGCCAAAGTTCACCAGAACTCAACCCACTCCTGCCCATGCCAGGCCCCACGCATTTGGCGTCCAAGTGGCGCCATTTTTGCCGCATTCTCATCGATGTTGGAGGGGGAACGAACGCAGACGTTCGCAGAAATATAAAAATAAAGCAGAAAAAGTAGATAAAAGTTTTCGAGGACAAACTTTAGCTGATGATTTTCTTTCTATAAATGGATTTTTATTTATCAGTTTAAACATTTCTATCGAGAGTGGAATGGACAACATACTTTACTCGTACTCTCCTGATTCTGCTCCTGCTCCTGCTCCAACTTTGACTTCCACTTGTAAACATAATTTATCATTACTTTTATATTAATTAATATTATTCAGTATAAAAACTTTCATGGAAAAACAAAAACTTAGGTGAGCAGGCGAGAAGTGCTCCATCCTGTTCATTCATTCTCGTACATAAATCATTATAATCATTCTCTTACATAATTCTCACTTGCAGGCTAAATAACAACAAAAATCTGGCTGAAAAGATTTCTGCTTTGCCAAATTAAATCATAAATTCTATAGAAAATTAGCTACATTTACGGAATCATTTCATACACATATATTTAATATAGTTTTTTTTTCAATTTTTATGTTTTTGTTTTGCTTTTTTTTATAAGAAATGGCTGCACACGCCTTTGATATGCAGCGTTGAGAATAGTTTGGCTTTCGACTTGCCATCCTGCTGGAAAACAAATAGAAAACATCTTCATCAGACTATGTTATAGTGGGTAGGAATTGGAGGGGAAAGTGGTAAAGGGTTTGGGTTTATATAAAGGTTTGTCTTGTGGCTTCTTCGATCGGTTTTTTGTATTGCTTGGGCATTGTCATGAGGGCGACTGCATTGTTCTTCAGATTTCTTGTTCATTTCTTCAGTTGAAGTTTCAGTTTTAAGTAATTAATGGCTTCAATTTCGTTCGGCCGGCACCTGACTATCCAATCAATCCATATTCGTTAAACACAATACAAAAACGAAACAATTACACAATAATTGTTGGAGCACTCTACGCTGTAGTCTTAAGTAAATCATTTTCACTAAATTTAGTTGCGCCTAGTCAGGTGTGTGTGTGTTGCTGTTGTGTGTGTGGTTCCGTGTGGTGTTCGTTTTAGCATTCTGCTGGCCTAGTAGAACTTTTTCGCCTGCGCCTCGCTGCGGTTCCTGCAAAAGGTAAAACAAAAGTTTGTTAGCTAAAGTTTAAGATACATCTTCTAGTCCCATTACTCACTTGAAGATATTGTAGATAAATACTAGCAGCAGTTGCACCACGGTTACACTTAGGAACAATGTGACGCCCACACAGTTGCCAGTGGGACAGTTGCCAGTCTGCGCTCCAGCCTGTGGCGCTGATTGCAGTCTGGAAATGGAAAACGTAAACGAAAGTTGAGCATCATCAAAAATCATTCACTGATGTCTAAACTCACTTTTGTCCCACATGAGAGATGCCCTGCTTGACCTGATTCATGCCGTCACGCATCTCGGCTATGAGCGTTTGCACATCGTAGCCGGTGGACTGGATCTGTGCTGTGGGCGCGTGCTTCTGATTTGTCTGAATGTTATCAGTGCGCACATTGATGTCGCCCACCAGTTGCCGTATCTCCCGGATGGAGCTGAGCAGCACATTCTGATTGGTGAGCAGTAGATCCACATCGGAACGGCTGACCACACCGCCGCCAGACAATTGCTGCTGGGGCACACCGCCAGCGGCTGCTGGTGGCAGTGCCTGTCCAGCGTTGGCAGCCAAGCCGCGTGAGACCAGCGTTAACGTGTTCTCCTGGCGTCCAATGATCTCGTCCACTTTGCGGGACAGCTCACGCAGATGATCGGCAATTTGGCTCTGTCCCTGCCAGATTTGACGCAGCTCGCGTTGGTTCTCCGACTCGTAGAACTCCTCCCAATCCTCCTCCCCGTCTTTGTGCTGCAATAGAGAGTGCGGAAAACGAACGCGATTAAATCACAAAACAGTTTATGGCGAATCGTATCAATGGAGCAGATAGCCATTATCAGCTGTCGTCGTGGCAGCACTTACCTCGTTCGGATGATCCTTCTTGTATTCCAGCTTCTGCTTCTCCAGCTTATCCTGATACTCGTTGTACTCCGCCGTCAGCTTCTCCTGATTGTCCACCTTCTGGGGCTCCTGGACCTGGCCAGCAGCGTGCAGGGATGTGGTGAGGAAGTGGAACACATCATGATCATCAGCCAAACCGCCTGTGGCAGCCGAGATACCGAAGTAACCATTCTTGGGCAGATTCACGCCATCCGAACGCATGCACAGCTCATAGTCGTCGTTGTTGTTCGTCATGCCGTTGTGTATGAGAACGGTGAGCACATTGTTGTAGTATTCGATGCGCGCACGGGTGGGGAAGGGCTTGTTACGGAAGTCCCGGAGGCAACCGCTCAGCAACTGCGTTGTGCCATCGTTGGTATGATCGTACATCTTTGTTCCGTCGTTGACCACCGCACTGATGTAGGGATTGTTGTGCTTGTTGTCGTTATCGAAGGAATCAAAGATGATGCCCAGACCATTCCAGCGGTCCGACGAACCGAACACGGGCCCATTGTAGTCGCCCTTCTCAGTGGTGTACCAGAAGGCTAGACCATCGGCTCCAATGCGGCCACGTCCCGTCACACGGAAGACAATCTCCACATCCCACCAGTCGAAGTTGGTTTGCGTCTTGGTCCAGATGGCGCCCTTCTGCGAACGCAGCGATGGGGCAACACGCACACTCTCGGAGCTGGCGATGGCATCTGAAAATCAAAGCAACAAGTTGTAGTCGTGGTCCCAGTTGCTATATTTAAATTAAAACAAAGTGCCTGCGTGTCCACTTTGCCGCTTGGCAGCAACCAGCAGCCAGTTCGGGCCATCGCCGTCTCGCTCGCACTCGCTGGCAGCGGCGAATGGGCCAAAACAACTGACGTGGAGCTCTTCTACTTACTTCCCCCGTACTCCCAGAAGGGTACGGTGCCGTCTTTTTGGGCCAAGTACGGCGGCTTGAACGAGTACTTGTACTCGAATCGACGGTGCACACCAACGGCCCCTGGACTCAGGTTGGTCGTCGCATGCGTGTGTTTAGCAAATATGCACAAAAGGGCCAGGAATTTGCAAAATGTTGGCAGCATTTTACAAAATTTTATTTTGACAACAGCAGTGTGACCGGGGCCTATCGAGTAAATATACCGGCTGACTGTCTAAAATTTAACGAAATATACGTTCTCAATTTAAAAATATACCGTAAATATACCGCAGTCTTTAATCATTTCCTCGATTTTTATGTTCTATTTGATATTCCAAGCTTGCAAAGACTTTTATCACTGAAACACTATTTTAATCCGATTGAACAATCAATTTGACTTATTATAAATACTCCTTTTTATTGGATTGTATACCATATGACCTCACATTTTGCTCATTTTCATTTGGATTTTTCATTTAATGGTCAGGGAAATTCTCTCCTGTGTCTAAACGGTCAGGGAAATCCTCTCCTGTGCCTAAACGGTCAGAGTGTGACAGCGTATAAATACCGCGTAAATACCTTTCATTTTCAAAATATACTGTAAATATACCGTAGTCTTAAATAATATTCCTCGATTTTTATGTTCCATTAAATATTACTAGTTAGTTGGGATTCTTAGCGCTAAAACTGTAACTTTATTAAATTCATCAATCAATTTTCCACAAGATTGGCTAATTTAATTGGATTTTTAGCAAAATAAGGATAGACCTAAAAAGGTCAACCAAAAAAGAGCTGAAACCTGCGGGAAAATGGTACCAATGCTGCCAATTGTGGGGCGCCAAACTTCAAAAATTAAAAAACATGATATCAGGCTGTGGTCCTAGAATAGACACTATCATCACTTCTAGATATATGAGGATAAGCGAGTTTACCACTATTTGGCGTTGAAAATCATAATTTCTTTTAATTCCTGTCCTACCGAACCCCTATCTGAATCTTTCTTAATTACCAGCTGCAAAGTGTTTGCTCTGCTTTGTGGAGTTCAGTTGTGGGTGGAGAACATTGAGTTGCGTGTTGAGACTTTCTGAAATCGGAGTTGCTTATTAGCTGGAATTGTTAACAGAAGGGATGTTCGATATATTATACTGTTCACCCTACTGCTACTAGCTGCAGTTGGATGTGTCAGACGTCAAGACTGGGATGAAATCCGTCAGCAAATGAACGCAGAGTTGGAAGGAGCAGCAGTCAAAGTTCCGAAAAGAAAATGACATAAGTCCTGGTATTTCCACTACGTTGGATCCAATCTTCAAAATTATTGATGGAATAACTTTGCAATTGGGAGCTCCAAATTAGCGGCAAGCACCGGAAACTACATCTATGGCTAGGGGAAGTCACCAAATTCAAGTTACAGAGTTGTAAAACAGGAAACTTATTAAAGAAACATTTAAATCAAGTTTAACAGGGTTGTAACACAGGAAATACATTATAGAAACATTTAAATTAATTGTAACTGGGTTGTAAAACAGGAAATATATTCAAAAATTTTATTTTATTTCTGATTAAAATGTAAAACCAACATAAAGATATTTATCCATCACAGATCTCTTGGGGTTAATCTCGTTATCAAATGCTATGGAATATACTTAGTACTTATTTATGCGATGATCTGAATATAGGCAGCAGTTGGTTCAAATTTACGATGACACTCGAATGTGTTTCACGTCCAAGTCACAGCACTGGGTCTCTGGCTCTAACTCTAGCACTAGACTCCAAAGCAAACCAAACATTTGGATTCGCATTTGCATTTGTTGAATATCATTAATAGCAAAAGCCGCTAATCGAATGACAGCCCAAGCGAACTTCTCTTGGCGCCTAGCAAATGATATTTTAACGCCACTGATACCCTAACAAAACAGTGGGATTATCATTTATGAAAAGAAGTTAGGCAAACCGCTTGAATCGGTGGACACAGTGAGGTATAAGGGTAACCAAACTTCGCTTTGGAGATGGTTCATTAATCTTGGATAACAATTCATAAATTTATTTATGGACTTAAGTCAAGATTAGATAAGAATTGAAGCATTCATTGTGCGTGGAATCTCCATCGTTAAATCTCCATCAGTGATTTGTTAAGAAGAATCACAATCAAGATCACCTGCTGTCTGGCGCTGGCCCGCTGATCTCTGTGTTCGAACAAAACAAAATAAAACAAACAACACGGCCATTAGGCGAACAGCAAGGGGAATGGAACGTAACGCTTGTAAAACTCGGTCAAATTCATATTCGAAATGCGCAAATTTATTAATAATACGGATCACTAAAACCCTCCAAGATCAAATGTGAACTGTGGAACATATTTTTGTTGTTGCTGGTGGTGTTAGGTGTAGGTGTAGGTCAGTGATCGTCGCCCAGCTCTGCTATAAAACGGTCTCTCGTCGGTGCTTTCGACATCAGTATCAACTAAAGCGACGTTCCGCTTGGATTCCCCCACAACACAGATTTTAGATTTCACAACAAACTTCAGTCATGTTCAAGATCGTAAGTATCGTTTAGTGATAAATGATCCGAATGTGATAATAGAGCTAACCAGCGAATTTTGTATGGATTTATAGACGCTAATCATTGGAATGCTCTTCCTGGTGGCCGTCACTTGGGCCGCAGATGAGTCACAGGCGACCATCACCAAGTACAAGAATGAGATCAAAAACGATGGCAGCTACAACTGGGAGTACGGCACCTCGAATGGCATTGAGGCCAAGGAGAGCGGTGTGGGCAGTGCCTATGCAGCAGGATCCGTGGCGTACACGGCACCCAATGGAGAGAACATTCAGCTGGAGTACACGGCCGACGAGAATGGATATCAGCCGAGGGGCGCACATTTGCCAACGCCGCCACCGACACCCGATTACATTCTCAAGGCGCTGGCATATATTGAGGCTCATCCGTTTACCAGGATTCAGCTGAAGCCCTAGATGATCCATGTAAAAATTAGCTCTAATTTAGCACAATTTATCTACATAAACAATAAACATTAGATTAACCTTACTGCTGCTTGTGTGTTTTGTTTTTATCTTTATTTTGTTGTAAATCATTGAATAATTGCAACAATTCTGTGATATAATTTAGCGTTCCGATTCAAAGATTTCCTGCACAGATTAGTTTGCAACTAATTTATGAATAATATTCATGGATTGGATCATGGAAATCATACGACACAATTTCCATTTCGTTTCGTTTGGTTGCGCCCCTTTTAAGTGCCAAAAAAATATAAATCATTATCGAAAAAATGTTACATAAAATTGTTCATTTAACGCGTTTTGTTATGAGTGCGTGTAGTGTGTGTGTGGTGTGGTGTGTGTATCTTGTATCTCTTAAATCACATTGAAATCATGACGCATATCCACTCCACTCGCTGTTTGTGTGTATCTGTGTATTGGTGTTAATATTATCATAATTCATAATTATTATTATTATTGTGTGTTAGCCATATTGTGTATGGGTTTTCTTTTTTATATGCTTTTGAAAAGTACAACGTGCACAATATCTTAGTAGTTTGAATTAGTTCTTAATATGTTTTGTTGTTGCTTTGCTGCTGCTGGCTCTCTCTTCTCACTAATTTCACGCTTTGTGTTTTCGTTTTTGTTTACAATAAGTTAACGTTTATCTTCATATATATTTATATATATATATATTCTTGCATAGGCAACTGGTTGTTAATTATATAATAAGGTTCTCTAATGATTCATTCTGTTAACAGAAAAACATCTCTTGTGGTGTGTGTTTTGTTGCCACTTGTGGCAGATTCAGAGCGAAATACATTTCGTTAGTCGTTGCTTAAACATTGGTTTTTGTTTTATTGTGTATGGTTTCGACCGCTTAGCATAATTGTTTAATCATCAGTTAATCAAGTTGTAGCATTTCCAATTGGTATTTGAATCAATTAAGAATATGCCATCAATTTTTGAGTAAATTATAAAAAGGAGTAGAAAAATCTAATAGATATTTTGTTTTGCTTTCTTCTTGTTTTAGTTTTTCTCTAGTTTTTTTTTTAGTTTTTGCAAAAAGTGCTATTCGCTCAAAAATTATTATATTTTCTGGTTTTTTGTGTGTTTTTTTTGTTAGTTATAGATCTTGAATTACATTTAATTATTTAGATGTTTTTTACTCATCCACGAACTCACTCTCCTAACTCTTTCTCTCTCCCTTTTGGAGAGTACAATCAAGTAAATTTAGTTCGATTACAAATTACTAAAGACATAAATGAATGCTTGACTTAAACAAGGCTCAAGGAAAGGCGGATAGGAGGCTGTGTATGGGAGGGTGTAAGTGTAAAGGTGCATGGGTGGTGGATAACATATTGCTTAATCAACATAAACTATAAACTGCCTGTCTATTTGTAAACTTCCAAAAATGTCAAAATGTGCGAGGGGTTTTGAAGAATAGTTTAGAATAGATTTGACGCGATTGGATGTTGCGTGTGTGTGTGTTTTTTTGGGTATATGTGTGTAGTACGTGGTGTTCATGCCGTTGTTGGCGATGCAGCTGGTGATGAGGCCACATTGGTCAACTTGGGCGGATGCGTGGCATTCACCACACGATTCGTGTTGTCCCGCGTCTTCGAGTGCTGCAACTGCATCAGGTAGTGCTGCTGCGTTGGTTTGTGCAACGCCAGCCGGGACAAGGCATCCTCGATGGTGAACCACTGCCGCTTGCGCCCAATGCTGCGCGAGTCCTCCCACTCCTCCAGCTCCTTGGTTACATTCATGACAAACACTTCAGTCCGATGCATATGATCGTTATTCTGTGTGGTGTAAGAACAAATACATGTATTCTATTCCAATATCACTTGCATTTCTATCAAAAATCAAACCTCGAAAACGCCCAGACAACGACCTAGACTGCCAACAACGCCGGCCTCTTCGAGCACTTCGCGTACAGCTGTCACAGAGGGCTCTTCCTCGGGCTCCACGCCACCACCTGGAACGATCCAAAGCTCTGGACGCCTAGAAGAGGTGACCAAAAGGACCTACAAAGAGAGTTTATAATAGTAATTATGATAGAGATTCAAAGTTTTACACTCACCTCTGCCTCGTTTTCGGCCCTTACGCAAATGCAGGCAGCCCGTCGCCTGAAGCCATCCTTGTCGTAGATGCGCGTTGAGTTGGGTTTCTCCTTGACCATCTGAAAGTAGCAAAGAGTTCATAAGTCCCGCGGCACATGTGATTGGGAATTGATTTACGGTCCACCCTGAATCCCACTTCATATTTCTTTCTTTTCTCCCATGACCATATGTGAGCTTAAAAATAATTATGGCTGATAAACTCGCTCGCACCACAAGCTCTCAATATATGATTTTATGGCTGTTGCCATTAATTTGAATGTGCGCGCACATGAAAATCGTGATTCGGTTCTTATCAGATGGGAAGATTGTCCCCGGCTAGGCCAATGGGCAAATTGCAGCGCCAGTCCCCAGACCCAGGCGTTATGGAGCTTATCAGTCCCGTCCCGGTCCTAGAACCGGTGCGGTTCTCGGTCACTTTTGTCCAATTCTGCCTGTCATGGAAAGGTACACACATTCCCAATGGATAATGGTTGGGATGTGTGGGGTTGAGGAGGGGGTAACAAAAATGCGCACTTATACTGCCGACACGTTATTATTTATCAATATCGCGAAATAGTTAGAAAAACGTGTCGCCATTACCGATACCCATTTTTAGCTGTCTCCAAACTGGGGTACTTGCTGGAAGAGCAGTCTTGGATTGAGAAAGTGTATCAAGTAGGAGACGGAAACAGAATAACGGAACACCACAAGCGCTGTCTTTAAGTAGGGTATTTAGTAGTCGCGCACTCTCACGCCACCACTTTCTGGTTGTGCGCCAACATCTGGGAGGGATCGGATTCTCGGGGGATGCTTACTTTTCCAAGTTGTGTAAGTACGCTGGGGGCAAACGAACGAACGCTGATAGCAGCAGATGATGACTTCTTAGGCACTTTTAATTCTCCTCCTCCGTTATCTCGCACTCTCTACGTCTGTATGCTGCTGCTGCTGCAACAAGTGTGTGTATGTGTGCGTGTGTTTGTTGGAGGCGCGCAGGTGTTGTATTCGGGAGCCGGTGTTGTATTCGCTACTGCTGCTGATCTCGTGCCGCTTCTCTCAGGCAGGTGCTTCGCTGTCGTTTCGCGCACACAACTCGAGGTAGGGAAAACGGGCAAAAATGCACAAACAAAATATAAACGACGACAATTCTGCGCTCGGACGTCACACAAAACCCGTCGCTGTAGTGGTGAGTGTCGTATGTGTGTGTCGTGGTGTCTGTTTGTGTGTGAAGTAATAACGCAAAAAAAGAACGGTGGAAAGCGAAGAGAAGGGAAAAAGTGGGAGAACGGAAACTTGTTGAAATTAAACGAGAGAAGAGAAGAGAGAACAAAATGAAGATGAAGGAAATAAAGCGCAGACAGGGCAGAATTATTTAACTACTGTGCAAAGATTGCATGTTGTTTTTGTTGGTTGGTTTTTGTGTGGTGTGTTTGTGTTTTTGGGGATTGGTATTACACGAGGGCTGGCTGGCGTCGGTGTGGTGTGGGTGTATGTATTGTGTGTGTCTGTGTTGCAGTTAGTCGCTTTCGTCGTCTCTTTGTCCTGGTTATCCGCTTCTTGGCTGCAGCTTTTGCTTCTTCTTTTCGTTTGGGCTTTGCTTTTTTTTTGTTTTTGGTGTCGTTGCCGACGCACAATGTTGCCTTATCGGCAACTTTCCATTGCTCCACCACTTTCTGCGGCCGCTGCTGCGGATGGATGGGGAAATTGGATACGAAGCGGTTTAAATTAAACAATTAAACACTTATTTTCACTTATTTGCAGTGTGACCGGCCTACAGAGTGACCGCGAAATCATCGATATAATTTACCGTCAGGGCCTCGAAAATATACCGAAATATATTTTTTGTTGTCTATGTAATATGTCTAGTTAAGATTAAAGATAAATCAAATTAAAGACATATGAAATTGAAAAGTAACACCTTAGCGCATTAGTGGCATTTTTGGCTATATAAGCATTTTATTGTATCCACTTTGATTTGAGTGTGATTGTTATTTTGAAATAAATTCAATCAAGCGTGCGAGCAGCTCCTGCACGGTTGCATTTTAGGCTGGATTTTGCAGTATTTTTATTTTTTATTTTTGTATGTGCCTTCAGTATGTAAATGTATGTACACTATTAACGAGCCACATTTGGATGTGACATGTTAACCGGTAACATTGAAGAATATGAAAAATATCGCGCCCTGCAAAGGAGAGGGAAGGGACGGGAACATAAGTAAATATTATAATTAGCTCGGAGTGGTTTGGGGACAGGTTTTCTATCTTTACAACATAATTGGGGATAGAATCCGATTTATACATTCGAAGTACACCTTTAATGGGCTCCCTGTACTTGTTTTAACTATCGATACAAACAACTATCGATATATACTTATTGTTGCGCCGCCATCTATGAAATGTGTGAGGAACTATGTCCTGGAGTCACAGCATGGCTCCACTTGTAGAGGTAGATAAAAGGTAGACTACATCGCATGAAAAGAGCGCTAATTTTAAAAATGTAAATAATATAAGAAAAGTTATTAACTGATAGGAACTACTTTGAAGTCTCTTTAAAGCTGTTCATTCAGAATACGAATTCACATGATTTACTGCCCCCGAAACACACGGTCTGCCCCACCCTTTGCACAACAGAGTTGCACATTTTTGAGTCCTTGCCAAGAAACGCAGCAAGCCCACAGAAGTAACGGACTAGGAGGGGGAGGGTGCCGACTTTATGGCCAAGGAGCCGCTGCGCGTTACCAAAAATTTGTTTCTTGTTCTGTGTTGTCTGTTGCTGTTGCTGTCCCAGGTTTTGTTGTAAGCTTTTAATGCAACTACTTAGCAGGATGAGCCCTGAGGGGGGCGGTGCGCTGGGTAGATTCCGCCACACGGCGGCGTGTCCTTGGCATCGCCTTAACCATTTGTGCTGGCGGCGGCTCCTCCCCCAATCCAACAGGCGACACACAGTGCCTTCCCCTTTGGTCCTGCCTTGATCTCTCGTGCCACGTTTTTGCTGTTGCAAGCAAAAGAAAATTGCTTATTTCTTAATGCATTTGCCATTTCCTTTTTTGGCTTTTCTTAGACAATTCCGCTCCACTCCCTCCCCGTCCCGAGCCATGGGCAATGAGTTATGGCCACAGTTTCCATATCCATTTCCATTTTCTTTTGGGTGACCATGCAGAAGTGTTAAGCAGTTTAACGCAACGCTTTTTTCTTTCTCTCTCTCTATGCGTCCTCTCTTTGTGTCTGTCTGTCACAATTTGTGGCACATCTTTGGATGTTAATTTTTGCCGAATCGATCGGCTGTTGGGCCTGCTCTTACTCTGCCCCTGGAGCGACACGCTTTGCTGCACATAAATTCAATGTCATAAATTTGGCCAAGAGGCGTCGCTTTGGCTGGCAAAAACTTTGCCTATTTGATGCGTTCGGCTGACCTCAACCAGAGGGCAGAGACGGGAGAGGAAAAGCGACCAGGCTGGAACGTTGTTGAGTAGGCAATTCCCCGTATAAAAAGGAAAGTAATGACAGTTTGCGCTTAGCTATGTATAAATTTATGCACAGATTTTCAAGCTTCCAGAATGATTCACTTGTGTAGCTAGTGTCCTTTCGCTTATTGTACTGTTGTACCGATCCCCGAACTAGTTCCATCTCTAAGCCTGCCACTAGTTCCTTTGCCTCACGAATCCATAGACCACATCAAATTCCACTTATTCTTGGCCCAATCCTTTCTTTCATAGTTTTTTTTTCCTATTTTTTTCATGCTTTGCTTCCATAAAATTGTTTCCCTTTTGTTCGTTACGCTTTGCTCTCTCTTTCGCCCATTCTGCTGCGGGTGTTTCCTGGGGTTATCCTTGCGGCTGTTGTGTGCGGTCAACGTTCGTCCTGTCTGTCATTGTCGTTTCTGCTTTGCTTTGCCACATGCTCGGGGGCAACTTCATGAATTTAAATGAACTCCGGGATGCCCCTAAGTTACTGTTAATTGAGCCGGCAAAATGGGTGGGATGTGGGATTCAATTCGAACTTTCGAGCGCAAAAACCAATGCGGAAAGTTAGCTGACTCCTCCTGCCTGCTGCCTGCCCCATTGTCGCAGGTGTGGAAATCTATCGTTAATTCACTAATCCCAGCAGCCACTTGCCACCACGCCCCTGTCATCAACCGCAGGGAGCGCGCGTGTCCAAACTTCTAAATGGAGGAGGCGAAAAGGCGCTGCGCTGGCAACATATTGTTTCAGTTTGCACAGCGCCCAGGAGTCACCTACAAACGCAATTTGGCAACAAAACTCAACGAAACAGACACAAAACAAAGCAACAACAAAAGCAACAACAACAAATGGGTTCTGCTGCTGCAACAATGGAGTGCCCAGAATTATACAATTTATGCGATTTACGAGGCAGCTACGACTCCTCCTCCTCCTCCTCCTGCTGCTCCTGGGTGTCTCCTGGTTTTTTGCCTGCCTGAAAACTATTTCTATTGCTGCGGCGCCGACATTCGCCTGGGCAAAAGGATATGCCGTATTTCCGTTTACATAATAAATTTGCTAACCACGTTTGTGTCGTCCTACGTTCCTGGCACTCTCTCGCACTCCACATCTGTGCTCCTCCTTCGCATGGCATGCAACTCCTTCTGCTGCTGCTGCTGCTGCTGCTGCTTGTGGGTTGCAGCCAAGTCCAATGCGGCATCCATGCCACCAGCGCCAGCAGCCGCCATCGGTTGGCATCAAGTGCTTTTGTGGTTTGCGACACCCTCCCCTGAGGTTGCAGAGTTCGTGGCATGCACACAAAAAAAACTAAAGAGAGTAGAAAAATGTTGGACAGCAGCCGCAGCAGCAGGCGGAGACCTAGACAAGACCTTTCTGCGCTTTATATAAACTTTAAACTTGGGAGAAACTTCTGCGACACTTCTGGCAGGCAAGGTGCCACAGATTGAGGCTGCTGCACGATTGAAGCTTTGATTTTGGTTTGACGGAAGTGCAGAGCACTTTTGCTTGATCACTGGGCGGCCAGTGGCGTGGCCTCTAATTAATCAATTAAATGGCCAGCCACAAACGAGAGTGCAGGCAGTCAAGTCAGTGCGCCTCGCCTCCATCATTGAGGAAGTTGTCGTCGCTGGGGAGTCGTCGTCGTCGTCGTCGTCGTCGTTGTCGGGCGTCGTTCGCTTCCGTTTTCCGCTGGAAGTGAAATCTGTTGCAAGGCGGCGGCGGATGCCATAAAAATGCCAGCCACTAGCCGCTGCCAGGCATTGCCACAGCTTAGTGGGCAGCCAGTTTAGGGCGTGGCAAGCTCTCAACCCACATAGATCCATGCCAGCAGCTTCGAGAGGTTCATTCACCCATGGATCACCGATCCTGCTGCTGCCAGCCTGCCTGCTTCTTCCCGTTCGTTCTACTAATGGCTTGCCACACTTTACATTAGCGTCACAATTTATTGGCCAACTGCTGCGCCGGCGCGCAGACGCTCCACAGACGCTGCTCCTGGCGACAAGTCTCCGGCCCACTTGGCCATTTGCTTTACGCATTGCTTGGTAGCTAAAATGGTCATAATAATAATAAAAATTTTCTGCCAGTCGCCAACGCGTCGCAGCTCCAGTTACAACAGCAGCAGCAGCAGCAGCAGCAAGTCCATGCCACCGGCCTCTCAGTCGCAGTCGCTATCGAGGCGTTTGAGCGCATGTTTGACGCATCAAATGATGACGACCACGACGACAACGATGAGGATGTGGATGTGGTGGCTCTGATGGGGCAACAGGTCTCTGCCAAGCCAAAGAATTCTCCGGGCCAACTCCCAATGCGCCGACGCTGCCTGCCTGCCCCAGGGATAGGAGCTTCCTTCTCTCCCTCCTGCCCAGTGCGTAAGCTCAGGAGGCGACCGACCGGTTTATGTCAAATGTATTGACAGGTGCATGGAGCATGCAGCATGGACTGGAGCGACGGCTGCTCCAGATCACTGAAAACGGGCTCTGAGCTCTGAGCTCTCTCTGGGCATGCGGGGCCCAGCAGATCATAGTCCGGGCCCGTGCAGTCAGAGAATCCATCAACTGTCTCGTGCCTCGTGTGT